AGAGATAAATTCTATAGTGATACAAGAAGAATGCATAGGTAACCTACCATATTTGGGAAAGAGCCACAGTTTGACCTCTTCCCTCCTTGTACACCTCCATATTCGAGAACTACTCTTTGAAACAGAGCAATCCCCATTCTATCCTCTCTTACCCATCTAGAGATTGGAAAATCAATGAAAAATAGCTAATGAATGAAAATAGACAAGCAACTGAGCTAGCAAAGCTTACCTTATGATGTCAGAAAGAATGATCCACCGACAGCCAATAGTAACTACAGACACATACAATATAGCAACCACAACATCCATGGCAAGATATATAGTACTGGCCTGAAATGGTTCAAATAAATCAATTAATGGGGTCAAATCTCCAGTCAAAAAATGGAAATTGGTTAGGCAGAAAAAATGGCAAGGCTAAACCTCACATTTTCCAATACCTCTTTGGGTATGGTAGTGTCCACAACTGTAACCGTCTGTGGTCTTTTCGGCGCCGCTGTAGTTCCAGCAGTCTCCTCGTTCTGCTCATCATCCTGGAATAAATTGTTCTCAAGAAAATCTAATGACTGAATGCAGATTAGAGTGTTGCTTACCTCAGACAGCTCAGCATCGGAACGAAGTTCCAAATTTTCATTTAAGGTGTCACTCATGAGCAGATCCCAAGCAGTCACTGACTTCTGCAGGATTTCCTTTCCTTTCTTCTTCCTCTGTTCTATCTTGGCCTTCTTCTCACGAGCTTTCTCAAATGCTCTGAAATAGGTTATACTTATAAGTTTGACCGCTTTTTACTGCACTAACACACTCTACTCCGTATGTGGGTAAACGAACCAGCATTGAACACTGTTACATAATTAATTACTCAACTGATGTAGACCATGAAATAAAGTTTTTGATAAACTATAGCACATCAGTAGAAAGCGAGATATCCCCTAATACCCTCTTCTCTGTAATGCCGGTATTTTATCAATTTTTTTTTCAAGAAACTTGTTCCTAGAATGAGAGCGTGAAGTGCAAAAACAAGTATTTCACCACAAACCATACTGGTAATAGTTATAAACTGCCTCGTGCAATTTTGAGATAACTAATATTAATAGAGAAGAAGCCAAGCGCAATCAGTTTCAGGAAAAAGAAAACGGGTGAAACAAGCGGAGTCTTTGTTCTAATTTTTCCTGCGTTCAATGCAATAAACAAGTTTGTCTTTCGCCAGGAAACGATATAACATGAAGTTGCATAGGAACAAGTGAACA